TAAAATCATATCAAGCATTTTCTCTGACCACAAAGGCCTGAAGCTAGAAACCATCCTCAAGGAAAAAAATAAAAAACACTCAAATTCATGAAGATTGAATAGCACACTATTAAACAATGAATGGGTGAATAAATGAGATCAAGGAAGAAATCAAAAAATTTTTGGAAATGAGTGAAAATGAACTCACAACAGTCCAAAACTTACGGGACACAGCGAAGGCAAGCTTGAGAGGCAAGTTCATAGTAATACAGGCCTACTTACAAAATACAGAAACATTTCAAATAAACAACCTAACCCTATATCTACAAGAACTAGAGGAACAACAAAAGTCAGAACAAGTAGAAGGAAGGAAATAATCAAGATCAGAGCAGAATTAAATGACATAAGAGACTAAATGAATAATTCAAAGGATTAATAAATCCAGGAGTTGGTTCTTTTAAAAGATAAAAAATCGATAAGCCTTCAACCAATTCATCAAGGCAAAAAAGAGAGATGATCCAAATAAAATCAGAAATGAAAGAAAAGAATTACAACTGGTATGACAAAAATACTAAGGATTTTAAGAAATTACTATGAACTATGTGCATAGAAATTTGAAAACATGGGTGAAATGGACAAATTTGTGGAAAAATATAATCTTCCAAAACTGAATTAAGAAGAAAGCCTAAACAGACTGATAACAGCTTGTGAAATAAAAGCAGTAATCAAAAAACTCCTGGGACACAAAAGCCCTGGACCAGGCAGTTTTACAGGAGAATTTTACAAAACATTTAAGGAAGTACTAACCCTTTCCTTCTCAAGACTATTCTAAAAAATTCAAGAAGAGGGAAGGCTCCCAAACACTTTTTATGAAGCCAGCATCATCCTAATCTCAAAACCAAACAAAGACACAACAATGAAAGAAAACTTCAGGCCAATATTGCTGATGAACATAGACACTAAAATCCTCAATAAAATACTGGCAAACTGCATCCAGCAATTCGTTAAAAACATCATATACCATGACCAAGTGGGAGTCATCCCAGGGATGGAAGTATGGCACAATATTAGCAAATTAATAAACATAATACATCACAAAAACAAAAGCAAAGACAAAAATCACATGATTGTATCAATGGATGTGTAAAAACCATTTGGTAAGGTACAGCACCCATTTATGATAAAAACAGCAAAGTGGGAATAGGGAGAGCATACCTCAACATAATAAAGGTCATTTATGAAAAACCTAAAGTCAACATCATATCCAAAGGGGAAAAACTAAAAGCTTTCCCACTAAGATCAGGAACAAGACAAGGATGTCCATTTTGACCACTTCTATCCAACACGGTATTGGAAGTCCTATCCATACCGATCAGACAAGAAGAAGAAATAAAAGGTATACAAAATGGAAGGAGGAAGGAGAACAGTCATTGTTTGCAATGACTTTGGCAAAACAGCAGGATACAAAGTCAATATTCAGAAATTGAATGCATTCTTGTACACCAACAAAGAAGCATTAGAAACAGCAATCAGAAAAAAATCCCATTTGCTATAACAAGAAAAATAAAGTACCTAGTAATAAATATGACCAAGGAGGTAAGTAAGATACCTGTATTCAGAAAACCACACAACACTGAAAAAAGAAATTAAAGAAGATACAAAGAAATGGAAGCATATACCATGTTCATGTATTAGTAGAAGTAGCACCATCAAAATGACCATACTACCCAAATCAATATATAGATTAAACTCAATCCCTATTAAAATACCGATGATATATTTCACAGATATAGAACAAATACATCAAAAATTTACAGGGAACTATAAACGACCCCACATGGCCACAGCAATTTTGAGAAAGAACAAAGAAAGAGGGATCACCATATCTGACATCAAACTACATTACAAGTCCACAGTAATCAAAATGGTCTGGAACTGGCAAAAGAACAGACACATAGACCAATGGAACATACAAAGAGCTTAGAAATAAACCCAAGTCTCTTGGTCAATTAACAATGGCAGGGCAGAAACATGAAATGGAATAAAAAGAGCCTCTTCAATACACAGTATTGGAAGATCTGGACTGCTATATGTAAAAAAAATGAAACTTGACCACAAACTTACACCATACACAAAAATAAACTCAAGATGGATAAAAGACTTACATGTAAGTATTGATAACATAAAAGTACCAGAGGAGAACACAGGCAGGAAAATCTCAGATATTCCACACAGCAATATTTTCACCGATATGTCCCCTAGAGGAAGGCATATAAAGGAAATAAAACCAAAAAAACAAATGGGATTTCATCAAAATAAAAAGCTTCTGCACAGCTAAAGAAAACACTAGTAAAATGAAAAGGAAACCAACTGTATGTGAAAATATATTTGCCAATGATATCTCGGACAACTGTCTGAACTCCAAAATATATAAAAAACTCACATAACTCCACTCCAGGGAGACAAATAACACAATTAAAAAAATGGGCAGAAGTCCTCAACAAACACGTCTCCAAGGAGGACATACACAGGGCCCTGAGACATTATGAAGGGATGTTCAGCATCATTAGCCAGCCATCAGAGAGATGCAAAGTAAAACAAGGAGATATCACTTCACACAGGTGAGAATGGCCATCACGAACAAATCAACAAACAAGTGCTGGCAAGGTGGTCGAGTAACATGAACCCTAGTACATTGATGATGGAATACAGACTGGGGCAGCCACTCTGGAAAACTGTATGGAAATTTCCTCAAAACACTAAAAATGGAAATGTCAATTCCACTGCTGGGATTATACCCTAAGAATCCGGAAACCCTAATTCAAAAGAACATAAGTACCCCAATGTTTATAGCAGTACACTTTACAATAGTCAAGTGTTGGAAGCAACCAACCTAAGTGCCCAGCAGTAAATGAGTCGATCAAGAAACTGTGTACATTTATTTACACAATGGAATACTATGAAGCAGAACGAAAGGAGGAGCTCCTACCCTTCACAACAGCATGGATGGAGCTGGAGAGCATTACACTAAGTGAAATAAACCAGGAGGTGAAAGACAAATACCATATCACCTCACCTGTAAGTGGAATGTAATTAACAAGACAAACAAGCAAGCAAAATATAACCAGAGAGGAAATAAGGAACAAACTGACAGTAGCCAAAGGGGAGGGGGAGCAAGATAATGGGGGGAAAGCAGGGAAAGGGTACTCAAGGAACATGTATAAAAGGACCCATGGACAAAGCCAAAGGTGGGTAGGACTGAGGGTTGGTGGTAGTGGTGGCAAAACGGAGACAAGCGTATTTGAACAACAATTAAGAAAATTGAAAAAATAAAAAAAGAATACCTTTTCATCCTACATTACAGTCTTTTATCACACCATTAATAATTTAATTCTCATCACAACAGTTTAGAAATAAATGTTTTTAAAATCTAACAGTTGAACCATCATGTTAAAAAAACGAGTTTATTATAATAAAGAAACTTATTATAAAAAGATTCAGTCCCTGATGATATATGGTGGTTTTACATTTCAACTCCACTAGGATTACAATTTCTCAAAAATAAAAGAACAGGTTTGCTTTGTTCACAAATACGAAGTGTCTACTTGGCAAATATTGTTCTTCCTCATTGTACATCAGAACCTTCACTACAGAATTAAATTCAAATTAATTTCATTCAAAGGTTTAAAACATACATACCCTCACTTAATTAGTGAAAAATGTCAAGAGCAAGGAAAGTAATTTAGTATTTTAAGAAAACATCATGTTAATGAAGTGTATTGATTGCATCATCAGAGTCCAGTATGAATGTTGTCTCAGCTATTCACCTATGACCTTGGACAAGTTATTTATTTGTGCCATCTGTGCTTGGCTCATCTGTAAAATGTTGAAATAACGTTGTCAACACATGGTCGTGGAAAGAGATGATGGTTAAGTTGCACCCACACTGAAAGTACTCCACAAGTTATCGCGCCTGCCTTCAGTCGTCAGATAGGAAGACATTGTAATTAAATGGGGACTCACTCTTACGTAACCAAATGGTCAAACTAAACCTTTTCCCGTCGGTTTATTAAATCTTCGATGATTATTTTCTCACATTGGAAACGCTATAAATCACTCAATTGTTCCAAAAGTATACTTACCTTAACCCCTTGCTCTGAAGTAGAAAAGCTTGCAATCTTTTTTAAAGTAAACATATCACTCTCCAAAAAAAAAAAAAAAATCCAAAACGCAAATGTAGCCTAGTAGTCCGGGTTCCACAAACACTACGTGACAGAAAGCTTAGGGCTTTCATTTTTAGCCCCTAGGCTTCTAACGGGGGCATCGAAGAAACCGAAAGCAGATTTCGAAGGACACTAGTACCAAAAGGAGACAGTCCAAATTGTAAAGTTGAGGCTTTCTGAGATCTGACCAACATTTCGAACTCCAGAAGCTCCAGGGTCAGGCCTACCTGGGTAATTCGTAAAGGAAATACTAAGTTCTGAATAGGCCATCCGGGCAAAGATCAGCTAAAGCTGCCGTCTTCCGTAGTCTCCAAAGCAAAAGCAAATCCCTGGCTGCGGGCTGGACCCTCCCACAGGCCCAGGGTCAGCTGGAATCCCCGGACCTCCCGAGGCCTCCCAGAACTGCAGCTCCCCATGCCTCCCGCGGGCCCGACAAATGACTTTGCAAAATCGCATTTCCACCCTCATCCCCTACTAGGCCATCTGAAAGCACCAAGCCAGAGACCAAAGACGTGAGAAAATCCGATCGGCGATTATACCGCAACCTCAGCTACGCAGAGGAGTTCCATACCTGAACGTAGTCAACGAAAAGCTGTAACCGCGCTCCGCCATCTTTACCCAGAGAATCAAAGCGTGTACACACTCTTGCGCACTGCAGATGGCCTCTTTTCACGTTCCCGCGCCCCGCCCTGCTTCTCCTCTCATTGATTGGAAGAAAGTCAGAGCCGCTCCAGCGGCACGCTGGGCGTTGTAGTTGCAAAACCCCAGTTTGACGGACTCTACGTCTGTGAGCGTACTGGGGGTAGGGGCGGGACTTATCCGCTGAAGATGGGTGAGCTTCGGGATGGGAAGATGTTGGCTGCCATGTTGGTTCTGGTGGTTCCTCAACGGCCAGTGGCCCGACTCCTCCGGAAATGGTGGGAGCTACTGCAATGGAAATTTCTGGACACTAGGCCAGGTCTTCCCAGCCCTCCGTGGGGTACGTAAAGAATACCGGCATAGGGAAGGGATGGATCAGGGAACCCCAGGCAGCGTGGTGGGCACAATTCATACTATGCCTTTTTCCGGCTTTCGGATCCTGCTTAGGAGACCTTGTCAAGGACATTTACTTAGGAACAAGATACAGCTGACTTTTTTTCTGCTCCCTCTCCGCGATAAAGAAAATAGTCCTCTCCCACATTCCTACACAGAAAGTCACCCAAGCTCATTAGCTCAGCATTTACAGCCACCACCATCTGGATTTTTTTTTTTATCCTTCCTTTCCAGTCCTCCCACACCTTAAAGCAGTTCATCTTCTTTTGTGGTATTTGAGCTCTGTGCAGTTGAATCCAGATGCCCTATTACCGGACAGGAACCTGGACCTGAGTTGGTCTGCCACTAGCTGTAGTGTTTAGATTTCACAACACGAGTCCAGGGAGGCAATGACACAGGGAAGGGCTTAGCATGGAGGAAGCAATAGGAGAGCTTGGGCTTGCCTACCTTAATTCACTGGTAAGTCAGAAGAAAGGGGCCTTTAGGGGACTAGCCTGGGACAAGCTACCCGAGGCCCGTTGCTTTAGAGTTTAGGAGACAGGTGCTTGGAAGAAAGAAGAGTGGGAGTGGGGCGAGAGGAAAGGAAGTGCCTCCCCCTCTTCTACCCACAGGGAGAGCACATGGGAGCTGGGTCCTTTTGTCTTGAGGCTTTCATCTCTTGTGGGTGGGAATCTTAGGGGAGGTCTAAAGGTAGAGTTTCAGTAGAATATTTATCACTTCTCCAGATATGTTCTTTTAGGGTCCAGATCTCTACTGATTGGTCAGTGACTGTGGTCTTTAGTCTTTGCAGTTGGTCCTGGTGTGGCCCACCTGGTTTTGCTGCTTTTCTGGGCCTGAAGCTGAAATACAGCTGAGGCGTATATGTTATCTCCAGAGAGGAGTTTATCCTGGGGGCGAGGTTCTTTTTTCCCCCAGTTTTGCGTCCTGCCAGGTCTTATGCCCTGGTGACCAACTGCATCTGGCTGTAAATCTCTTAGCCGTTTTGTTCGGCTATCTTTCTCAGTTTCCCTATTCCATTTGCCAATGAATTTTCATAGCTTCGTTATCCTGTCTCACCTGTCTTTCCCCCAGAAACTAAGTTGAATGAGAAGCTTCTTAGATATTAAAATTGTCATTGCTTTGGTATTTACATTCTACACCTTTTCTAAGGTGTTCCAAACATGATAATACCCAGGCAGTCTGAACTGAGAGCCCACTCCCTATATACCAAAGTCTACCTGCACTTACTGGGATAATTTCCAGAACAATCCCATTAGATATCCCCAACTTTCAGCTGCTGAAATAGTCTGAAAAGGTCCCTAGGTTAAACATACCTTCCAGAACCTGTGCTGTTAACCACTGGGCTATGCTTAGAAAATACGTTTAGATACATTGAAAGGGAGTACCAGTTAAGTGTTTCAGAGCTTTGTATATTAAGAGTTCCTAAAATCAAAAGAAGTATTGCAAGTCTGAGGAATAGCCAAGAGAGGGTTAAGGAATCTGTTTGATTTTATAAACAATTTAGAAAAACAAAAGTGAAATGTTGATGGTTACAGCAACAGAAAATCATACAGAAAATTACTATCATACAAAGAATGGTGAGCTAGTTTTTTTTCTTATAGAACAGATAGGAATCAAAGTTAAATATTATGAACTAAGTGACTTAAATAGGGCCTGCCAACTTACAAGTGTGTGGCAAAGGAACTAACTCAGTTTGAATATAATAAAAAAGGGTCAGTGGGCAAGTTATCTTACTGTTGGTTAGAGGTGCATTTGGGGACTCTCATGTTTAGATTTACTTGTAAAGTGATTAGGTAACTGCCCACCAACTGGATATGGACAGTTGAATGATTTTCTTCTTTTTCTTTTTATTGCTTTGTTTTGTTTAAATTAGGTGCCTCAGACTTGTATGTATGTTTACCACTAAACCCCAGAGTTCTATTTTTCATAAGGTGAGAAACTGTTGGTAGGATTTCACTGATTTATTTCAGCAGGTTCCTCTAAGAAAAACTTCAATTTGTGTTCTTTAAATTTGCTTTATGTATGAGTTTTAGTATATTTAATAGCTAAGATTTTCTGTTAAATGTCTATTGAATGTAATATTCTAAATTACCTGTAAATATATCTGTTTTTATATCACTGTTGACTAAGGAGAATGATACCTGTAAATAGTCATTTAGAAGCTAAAACTGATTCTGAATCTCCATGTTTTATTTTGTAGGACCAGCATTAGCTATCCAAGATTCAACTACATTTATAGAACCAGAAAATACTACTAATGGAAGTAAGGAGATCTCCAGCCTTTTGGATAATATCTTTTGGATGGCAGCACCCAAAAACAGACGTAGCATTGAAGTTAACCAGTGTAGGAGAAGAAATCCTCAGAAGCTTATTAAAGTTAAGGTAATGTGTTGATTTTTGTGGATTTGCTTTTTCTCATGACTACCACTGCATATTCTCCTGATATATCCATATAACCTATGAGTACATTATTCTCAGATTTTATATGTCTACTTTCTTCTGGCCTAAAAGTAAAATACAATATTCTGTACGTCTACTATGCTGTAGCCTAATTGGTAGGAACAGTGTCAAGGAGGGAGTTTGAAGTCTGCACAGAGGACCAGGTTGGGAAGAGCATAAATCACTTTTTAACCCATATATGGGTAAACACCTTAACTGGCAGAACCTCAAATTAAAGTTAGAAGCAATAGTTATATTGGATCTTGGGTTTTAGTGGCCTTCACATTTTTATTTTATTCTTCCCTGTGCCCTGTAAAAATGCTACAAAGGGAAATCCTTAGATTAGTAATAAAAATAGCTAACATCTATTAAGTGCCTGTGATATATCCAAGATGTGAATTATCAAATTCTAACAACAGCCCTCCAAAGTAAATATTGCTCTGACCATTCTTAGGGTGAAGAAACTGAGGCAAAAAGAATTAACCTGTGTTCACAAGCTGTTAGGTGCTGGAGCCAGGATTTGAGCTCTGGAAGTCTAATTTTTTAGCTCAAATTCTTCTCTTGAAAATTGTTGTGTGTTCTGTCAGACAACTCCAGATCTTTGCTCTCTTCATTGAATACATAGATACACCTTTCATTTATCTAATAAGCAAAAAATATAGTTGTTTATTAACTTTGATCTGTTAATTTATTACCTTAATGGCCATGTTTAAATTACTGGAATTCCACAGCATCAGCACAGTGCATATGAAACTCCAGAACAGAGAACTTACTATTAAGCTTCTATGTTGATTATTAAACCAAATCCTTAGAACTTAATTAGGCCAAGATGTATTACTGAGTTGAAGTTGGGACTACACTTAAAACCTGGATCTAAAAAATACTTCATCAATTAAAAGAACAATAATTCATACGATTGGGTGATAAAATTTAATTTTTTAGGAATAAGATCTTGCTCCAGTCCATTATGTATTCCTGACTATGTGTTTATTCTGAGGGAAAAAGAATAGCTCTTATCCTGTGCATTCATTTTCTTCATTGAACTGTTTTCTGCTGCATATAGTATATTGTCCTGGGTGCATGGTTTAATTATTAAATTTATTTGAGTGGCATTAGCTGATAACTTTCAACAGTACAATCCTGTAACCATAATCTGTATATTGCAGTGTGTTTTCACCACCCCAAATCAAGTCTCCTTCCATCATCATGAATTTGGCTTCCTTTATTCTTTTCTACTTTTTCTACCTCATTACCCTCTGATAATCATCATATTGTCTGGGTCAATGAGTTGTTTTGTTTCTTGCTTTCTGTTTTATATCTCACATATGGGTGAAGTCATATGATTCTTTTTCCTGCTGACTTGTTTCCCATAGTATGATGTTTTCAAGATTCAAATGGCAATATTTCATTTTTTCTTACAGCTGAGTAGTAATATATATGGTCCACATTTTCTTTTCCAATCATCCATCAAAGGGCACTTGTTTTCATATTTTGGTCACTGTGAATCATGCTGTAATAAACATAGGGGTCTATATACATCTTTGCAAATAAGTCTTTTCAAAATTTTGGGGTTGATAATCCAAAGGAGGGAATGCCTGGGTCATATGGTTGCTCAATTCTTACTTTTTTGAAGAACCTCTGTACTGTTTTCCATAGTGGTTGTACCAATGTACATTTCCACTAGCAGTGCAGGAAGGTTCTTTTTTCTCCCCATCCTCTCCAATATTTGTTATTTCCTGTCTTGTCAGTAATAGCCATCCTAACAGGTGTTAGGTGCTATCTCATTGACTTGTTTTTCTCTTATTGCTAGTAAAGTTGAGCATATTTTTGAAAATCTGTTGACCATTTGTATGTCTCATTGGGAGAAGTGTCTGTTCAGGTCCTCTGCCCATTTTTTAATTGTGTGTTTTGAATGAGTTTGTTTTTTGGATGAGTTCTGTGTATGAGTTATTTTTATATTTTGAATATTAGCCTCTTATTGGAGGTACTGTTTGCAAATATATTCTCCCATTCAGTTGGTTGCCTTTTTGTTTTGTTGGTGGTTTCTTTTGGTGTACACAGCTTTTTAGTTTGATATAGTCCGTTTATTTTTGCTTTTACTTCTCTTGCATTTGGGGTCAAATTTATAAAATCCTCTCTGAGACCAACATCCGTAAGTTTAGTAACTATGCTTGCTTCTATGTGTTTTATTGTGCCAGGTCTTATATGTAGGTCTTTGATCTATTTTGAGTGAATTTTTGTGTATGGTGTCAGATAGCACTCTGTTCTTTCACACATGACTTTCCAATTTCCCAGAACCATTTATTGAAGAGGCTTTCTTTTCTCCATTGTATGTGTGTGACTCCTTTGACAAAAATTAGTTTCATGTATGTATACGGGTGGACTCTCAGTTCTATTCCAATGATCTGTGTGTTTGTTTTTCTTCCAACTGTTTTGATTATTATACCTTTGTAGTATAATTTGAAATCGGAGTGTATTATCTCTGGCTTTTTTCTTTTTCTTCCAGGATTACTTTGGCTATTGGGATCTTTCATGGTTTCCTACACATTTCATGATTTTTTAAAAAATTCTATTTATTTTAAAAAGCCATTGGGATTTTGATAGGGATTGCATTAAATCTGTATATTGCTTTAGGTGATATTGCCACTTAACTGTTGATTATTCCAGTCCATGGACATGGAATATTTTTCCATTTCTTTGTGTCATTTTCAGTTTCTTTGACCTGTGTGTTACAGTTTTCAGCATATAGAATCTTCACTTCTAGTTAAGTTTATTCCTAGGTGATTTTGTTGAAGTTGCAAATGAATTTTTTCTGAAATTTCATTGGGTTTTTAAATATATTTTATTGATTATACTATTACAGTTGTCCCAGTTTCTCCCCCTTTGTCCCCCCTCCACCCAGTAACCACCTCCCATCCAACAATCCCCTCCTTAGTTCATGTCCATGGGTAGTGCATGTATGTTCTTTGGATTTTCCTTTTCCTATACTATTCTTTATACCCCCCCTGTCTATTTTGTACCTACCAATTATGCTTAATCCCTGTACCTTATCCCCTATTCCCCCCCTACCCCTCACAGCTAATATCCTGCAAATGATCTCCATATCTGTGATTATGTTCCTGTTCTGGCTGTTTACTTGGCTTGTTTTTTCAGATTCAGTTGTTGATAGTTTTGAATTTGTTGTCATTCTACCATTCTCAGTTTTAATCTTCTTTGTCTTCAATAAGTCTCTTTAACATTTCATGTAATAATGGCTTGGTGATGATGAACTCCTTTAGCTTTATGTTGTCTGGAAATCACTTTATCTGCCCTTCCATTCTAAATGATAGCTTTGCTGGATAGCATAATCTAGGTTGTAGGCTGTTTGCTTTTCATCGCTTTAAATACTTCTTTCCAGTCCCTTCTAGCCTGCAAAGTTTCTTTTGAGAAATCAGCTGACAGTCTTATGGGAACTCCTTTGTAGGTAACTTGCTGCTCTGCTCTTGCTGCTTTTAAGTATCTTTAGCCCTGGCTGGTGTGCCTCAGTGAATGGAATGTCAGCCTGCATACCAAAGGGTCACCAGTTCGATTTCCGGTCAGGGCATATGCCTGGGTTGTGAGTGAGATCCCCAGTAGGGGGTGCGTAAAAGGCAACCACACATTGACATTTCTCTCCTCTCTTTCTCCCTCCCTTTCCCTATCTAAAAATAAATAAATATTTTAAAAAGAAAAAAAGTCAGATGAAACTCTCTCCTTTAAAAAAAACTATCTTTAACCTTTGGCATTTTATTTATGATGTGTCTTGGTGTGGTAATCTTTGGTCCAACTTGTTTGGAACTCTCTGTGCTTCCTGAATTTTTATGTCTATTTCCTTCACCAAATTAGGGATATTTTCTTCATTATTTTTTCAAATAAGTTTTCAATTTCTTCCTCTTCCTCTTTTGGCATCCCTATGATTTGGATGTTGGTACCTTTGGAGATGTCCCAGAAGCTCCTCATACTATCCTCATTTTTTTAAATTCCTTTTTCTTCTTGCTATTCTGTTTGAATGCTTATTTCTTCCTTAGGTTCCAACTCATTGATTTGAATCCTTCATCACCTCCATTGTTGGTTCCCTGTAGATTTTTCCTTATTTCACTTAGTGTACCCTTCGTTTCTTCTTGGGTCTTTTTTATGTTGCTGCTGTTCTCAGTAAGTTCTTTCAGCATCTTGATCACTAATGTTTTGAACTCTGCGTCTGATAGGTTGTCTCTCTCTGTTTCGTTGAGTTCTTTTTCTGGGGTTTTGTTCTGTTCTTTCATTTGGACCATCTTTTTTTGTCTCCTCAATTTGGCAGCCCCCCTGTTTGTTTCTGAGTGTTAGGTAGAGCTGCTTTGACTCCATGTCTTAGTAGTGTGGCCCATTGTAGAAAAGGCAACTGTAAATTGTGTGGGGGGAGCCATAGATAATCGCCAGAACTAGGCATCCCACTTCACCACTTTGTGGCTATGTGGGGAGAGGGGACAGTGCTGCTGCCTGGCTTCTGGAGGTTTTCCAAGCAGGGTGTGCCTCCGTTCTAAGTCTGTGTGGGCCCTTTAAGTGGAGTTTTTTCTACTGTTTCAACCTCCACTGGTTTTTCCAGCCAGGAGTTACAGGGATTTATCTTCCTGGCGCCGGAACCCTGGGCTATGTAGTCTGGCCTGGGTCTGGGATTGCTCACTCCCAGGGTATACCTCCCTATTTTTATCCACTACACGTGAATATGGGACCTCCTGTTCCACTGTAGCCAGCTGTCCTGTACCACACTGTGTCTCTGCAACTCTCCACATTTCTGCCCTCTCTACCTGTCTGGATGTATGTGGTTTATTTAAATCCTTGGTTGTCTGACTTGCATACAGTTTTCTTGATTTTCTGGTGGTTCTGGGTGTTTGTTTGAGGTCTAGTTGTAATTCAGGGTGTCAAACTCATTTTCACTAGGGGCCACA